GAATATTTATTAGAGAAATCACGAGTTATTTCTCACAACAGTGATGAAGGAAACTTTCATATATTTTACATGTTTTGCAGTATTTTCTCTATAAATCTTCTGTTGTTAAGATTGTTTTCTTTTAGAGAATTTGATAGCGGTTCTTCTGGTAACGGAATAAATGTCCACATTTTCAGAGAAAGATTATTAGCTTTTCAAAAAATATTTGTTCATGTTTCAGATCTGTTAAGGTGACAACTCTAGAGATAAAATCACAAAAACAAGCGCATACCGATGTTCATTTGGCATTCGTAATCCATTTCTTGCCAGCGTTTCTTGAGATAATCCCGCAAATAACATGTAAAATATATGAAAGTTTCCTTCATCACTGTTGTGAGAAATAACTCGTGATTTCTCTAATAAATATTCTTTTAAATGAGCTATTAATTAAACAATATATAACTAAAATTTATGTATATTACAAGAATACAAATAATAATTTACCTCCCAGAACATTTCCTGTCTGTGAAAAATGTATTTCCAAATATTTTCCAAAACGACTCGAATTATTGTTGATCCACGTTTTTGCATTACCAAATGCTTCCATGAGAGGATTAACCTTAACAAATATCAGAAATACCATTAGAAAATATTAAAAAGAAAATATTTTAGAAAATTTATACCTGATTAATTTTAACGTTTAACATTGTTTCAAAGGATATTGCTCGACTTAACAGATGTTGAACGATATATTTACAAGACTCCGTTTTTCCACTTCCGGACAAACCTATTAAATTAATGAATAATAGATGAAACAATTTTAATGTACATTCAGTTTAACATACCTGAGATAACAACACACTGTGATGCTTGTTCACGAAGCATATTTCGATATAATCGTTCAGCGCAACCATAAATATGCGGTGATAGTGATACAATTGATTCAGTAAGTTTAAATAACTCCGAGATCTGACAAATGAAAAACAAAAATCCGTTTATTACAGAATATAAAATATAAATAATTCAGCTAAAATGATAAATACATACTTTTCGTCCATATATTGGTAATAATGAAAATGGATTTAAAGCAATTAATATGTCACCAATCCATGTCTGAAATATTAAAACAAACAATGATAGTCTAGGAAAAATAAAAAGAATTTCAAAACTGAAAAAGATATGTTATTTGTTTTCTATAAAGATAAGAAGAAAAATCTTTCAACTCACATATACTTGTCCTTGACGAAAGCGTATTTCCAGATCAAATAATAAACTTTGTTCATTAATTTCAGGTAATTGTGCTAAATCATCGTTCGAATATTTGTTTGGTAATGACTAAAGAAAAAGAAAAAGATATATCAAATTTTTGAATTATAAATATCATCTGGATAATTTAGCATCTATGACTACGTCAGTGGTGAATCTACATGAGGGTGAAAGGGCGTACGCCCCTCCCTTACAAATTCTTCACGTACAGAGAAATCCGCAATTTTCTATCTTTAATGAAGGTTTTGTTTATAAAAAATTCAGAAAAACTTACACTACTTTGGAGACCGTTCAAAAAGAAATCGCCTCTCCCTTGACAAAAGATCTTTAGATCCGTCATTGGACTATGTGTAAGCACAACACAAAGTTATTATTCTTTGAATGTTTTATTCAATTTTCAAATTATCAAACTTAAAAAATATTTTCTGTTTTTTGGTCTATTATTTGTGCATGTTCGAATAGCATTTCTGATTTTGAAAAAAAAGAAGTAAATAGTAATCAATGTGAATGTCTTATTTACTGGAGCCATTGCGACATTTTTGAAAGTTTAATATTTTTTAAGTCAGTTTATTTAAGAGTATATCGCTTTTCTAACCTGTTCAGTGTCATCTGTAACTGATGCTAGTGATTGTTTAACAACATGATTATTACTGTAATAGAAATTATCTTTGTTGTTGTCATTGTCACTGCTGTTTTGATCAGTATGAAGATTCATATATAATCTGGTCATGGTACATTTTTTGTTTAAGTGTTGATTTCAACACATTTTTTGAATATGATTTATTTCGATAGATAAAAATTTAATATTATCAATGAAAAGAATGCAAAAACAAATAATTTTCTTTTTTTTATTAGAACAATAAGATTAAAAGAAAAATAAACAGGAAATAGACTAAAAACACACAAAATCAGTCTATGTCGTATGCTATATATTATCAAAATACATCAACATATTTGCGGTTCGACTCTTTCTCTTTTTGTCAAGAGGCTTTTCTTCTCTTTTTTTATTATTTTTCTTCTTCTTTTCCTTTTTAATTTTTCGAGAATGTTTATCGAAATTCTTCAAGTTTTTCTTACTGTCGAAGGCAATTGGAGTTGTATGTTTGTATACCTTTCATATACAATGAAGAGTACAGTGTGTGTACATGTGTACATGTATATGTTCACATAAAAAAAACTATTTAAAAAAAAAAGAAAAAAAAAGACGTGCATACATATATAAAATTTGGGACGTTTTATCACGTTTGATATCAGAAATCAAACATCAGCAGAAGAGAGAGAGAGAGAGAGAGAGAAAGAGAGAGACAAATATTTATTGTCATATCATTCACCCAATAATCAATAATACGGTTAATTTTTTTGTATATTTATGTTTTATTTCTTAAATACTTCTTACTTATGTGTGAAATATGAAACGCGACAGATAATATGAATACAGTTTTTTATTTAAAAAAATAAAATAGAAAGAGAGAAAAAAGAAAATCGTATGTCTAATACGTGGACATTAGTCTTTATTAAAAAAAAACAACAACAAATATATCCAAATGACGCATATAGAAATATCTCTCTCCCTCTCTCTATATATATATGTATGCAGTATTTGTTGTTTTTTCTTGATAAATAAAAGTATTATTCTGACTAGAATTAGAAAGGATTAGTTTTGAAATGATTTTACGTGCGGTTTGACAGTCAGTAAGCACATTAGAAAAACAAAAAGCTAAGTATTTATGTTTGAGAAGCGTATCCTTCAGAAAAACGTTTTTAGATATATGATAGTTTTAACGATAGTTGATAAAAATAATTCTTCTGTAACAGTATGCATTTAATTCTACGAATTATGTGATTTTCGATTGTTTAACAGTAGACAGGGGCGTAGTTACTGTGAAGGAGAGAGAAGAGGAGGAGAAGGAGGTGACTCATTTTGTCTTTAAAAAAAATTCATCGTTTTTGCAGCAACAGGATTTTTTTATTAGATGAACATATTTTACTAATCAACAGTAAACATATAACTTACATCAAATCAATTATTATTGAAACTTTAGCATTTTGATGTTGTAAACTTAAAATTATGACGAAAATGTCTACGATTATTCGGAAAAATCACGATAGTCAGTTCAAAGAAAAAATGTTTGTTTATCAGCAAAAATTTGATAGATTTCAAGTCAAGCTGTTCTATAGAAAAATTTTCAATTTTATTTTATTATGACTACTGAGAAGAGATAGTTTTCTCTGTTAGTATATTTTCATTATTTTTGCTTAAATATCAATAAAATTTTCGTTTAAGATGTGCAACGAAAGATGGGGAATAAATCAATAATTATAACAGTAGACTATATAGTCTCCAGACTCACAATATAAGAAAATTTGAATATTTACCAATTTTGTATTATTGTAATAGTCACTATTGATGTTACCATTCTGATTATAATAGTTTTCAAGAAGTAAAGTGTTTTGAATGAAAACAGTAGGACCCATTTAAAAAGTGTTATTCTCAAATTGAAGCGAATGTGTTTAACGTGTGTAAGTCTATGTCATTTATGACAAAAATGAACAGCAGAAGAAAAGCAGAATAGAAAAAAGAAGCACATACACAAATATCTTTCTATTCTCTAAGTGTTCAATTTGTACAAGTCAAAACTAACGGTATAGTTAAATATATATCTCATTTATTAAAAAGTGCGTTAAGTCGAAAATAAAAAGAATTTAAAGACGATAGAACACATATAACAGCACATATATACATAAAGAGAGAAAGAGAGTTTGTTTTTGTCACCCAATAAAGGATTACATCCTCGTACAATTGTTGACTAGAGTATATGCGATAAAATCTTCATATACACACTCACACCCAAAATAAAACAAGAGACAAGATCTTTCTTTTTGTTCGGTTCATCAATTTGATGTACACAGTTTTATATGTATATATATACATATAATATATATCGATGAGTATATTACGCGAAAGACTGTTTTTGTATTCCGAATCACTCTAAATGATTCACTTTTTATTACATGAGGAGATGGGATAATTGAAAACAAAAAACATAAGAGATGAACGCGTAATGGGAAAGAAAAAAAAATAATTATAGACACAGTTTGTATTTTAAACATGCTAGTCTACTCGAAACGACGCGTCAAATTGATAATAATAGAGAGAAAAATTATTTTCTATATCTCTTGTTCAATTGAATTTTATATAATGTGTAATAATCTTACCAAACTCAAACGAAAACACTAAATTTCTACGTCAATATCTATTCTCATTAAATTAATCAAAATTATCTAGGATTACTCCTGTTTATGAGAAAAACGACTAGATTATTACCATGTTGTTTTCTTCTAAAATGTAAAATTTTCTTACCGATTCGTGTCCAGTTGATGTGCCATGAAAGATATCGATATCCAAAGTTTGTACGTCTTCTTCTTCTTTCAACTGTGAATGTTTTTGTTCAAGAGTTTCAGTCGTTGTTGCGTTTTTAACAGGCCACTTTCTGAAATACAAAGAAGTAAATGCAGCTGATAAACGAAAAAAAGATTCCCAGATCATTTTTTGTTAAAAGTAAAGAAAAACTAGTTGTTTAACAAGTTTTTTAATTAAGATATCTGATTACTCTTAACAGATGTTATTTTGACTCACTCCAACATTATGAATAATCGCTCATCATCATCATCATCTTCTGTTTCGAAATTTTCTTGCTCTTCTTCTAATGAATCTTCACTTTGTTCATATCGTTCATGTTTTACTTCCGCACAAATTAATGCCAAACGAATAACTGTTTCGCGTGCAACTTCTACAAAAGAATTTTATTTACAAAAATTAAAAAAAAGAAGTAAAACACATGTCTACATCTTACCACTCGGCTTTCGTCCAAATTTATCTCGAAGACAAGGATTTGCTTTGGCGTCAAGAAGTAATTTTATTATCAAACCCTAAAACGATCATTAGAATATAAGTTCGTAGCTCAAAAAACATATTAGAAGAAAAAACAACAACAGTTTTTTGTATTTATCAAGGACCAGAATGCTTTATTCCAAAATTCATTGAATCATAGTTTGTACGATGATTCAGCAATACACCTGCCGGATCACGAGAAGACTCTATATGGTTGAAGCCACACTGCAAATTACGTTAGTAAATAATGTTTTTTTCTGATAAATAAAACAAAAATCTTACTTGAGAATGTTTTGCTGATAAGTGAAGCGCTGTTGCACCTGTTTCGTCTCTAGCATCAACGTTAACTGAATTTTTAATTAATAATCGCACCACATTTTCATAAGCTTTGGCGGCAGCAATATGTAACTATAGAAAAGAACAAAACTTCCACAATAATCATAATTCAAGACTTTCCTTTTCATTAAATATAAAAAGGATAAAACCATGAGCTACAATGCAAATTTCTTTTCTTCTCTGTAGAATAGTATTTTTTCAAGGTATATCGATGATCTCTACAGAATGTGGAAAATCTACTTACTTAGTAGAATAAAAAAAGAAAAAGAAAATTCTACACTATATTTTCCCGAAGAAATATTTTTCAGTTTTTCTTATTTAATTTTTCTCACATACAAACAATAAATAAGAACATGACAACCTTCACTCATAAGAGTGATGCATATTAAACTACGAAATACAAAAACGTCTAAATAAACTTTTTTTTACCAGTGTGATGCCATATTTATCCGGTTTATCTAATTCTTCATTTTGATCCAAGAGTTTTTGACAATCTTCAAGCATTACTTGTTCTTTGGATATTCGTACATTATCAATCTGCGGCATTAAAATGTCTAAAATAAAGCAAAAAAAAGTATATCAGGATTGTTGATGCTCTTTCAATACAACGTGATCACGTGAATGAGACTATTAGATCGTCTCATTTTTAAACCTTTTTTCAGTCGTGTTTCTAACGTTTTGAGCTTTTATCGTTTTCAAACTACTCAGATATCTTGAGAAGCACAGGAAGCTGAGTTGTATGGGAGATTTTTTCCAGACTTTTGAAGAGCATTCTGATTTCTTTTTCTGAGTTTGATGAGAAATCTTCTAATATTCACTTTTTTCATCAGATACGCACTGTATGAAGCAGTGCTGAAGTTTCAATCTGCCAATAGGCAGTGTTGTCTGACGAAAATAGCTTTACCTGGCATTGTTTCAGGTAAGATAGAAGGTTATTGTCGTTTAAACACAGCATAAATTATTCGAATTACAGTTTTCACAACTCAAGTCGGTAGAGTCCTCCGAGACAGATAGACATGTGGCTACTATCAAAAATATGCTGTTCTGAAATCGTGATACTTGTTGACAATCACTTTCGATTTCTACCAGAGGTGCAAAATATACCCATTTGCCTCGACGTTCGTCGGTGAAAAGTCATTGAAAAAAACATTTTTTTCGAGGAAATTTTTCGGGAAAGCTTTAGTAAAATAGAATTTTTGCTGAAAAATAACTGCAGTAGAAAATATTCTGACACTAGTAGGAAATATTTCCGTCGAAGGAAACTTGTCATTTACATGGGTAGATTCTGCACCTCTGATCTCTCCTGAACCTATTCACGTGATTTATCTGAAAATCATACAAAAAAAATCAAGTTTTAACTATCTGCTATTCATTCCGAGAACCAATCTTTGTATTCTCCTAAATTGATAATCAGTATTATGGGAACTGATATCGTTTAGTAGTATTTCTAATGAGAACTTAAAGCAAAGGTAGATTTTGTATAGTTTTTCATTGCATTATTTTATGCTTTTTCCTGATAAAAACAGAGTGCAAATCAAATTTTCATAATGTAAATCCATTTTGTTCTGTCATCGTACTAATATAAAGAATGTTGTGACTTATTGTATCTAAGATATATTGAAGGAATAGAGTTTCCTCGCTAAATTATAAGTTCATCTTTATGTAAGAGAAATAATTTTAAAAATGATAGTGTCATATTAAAGCTAAAGGATCGATTTTACACTACATATTTTGCTTTCTCTAATCATAATTCTTACTTTTATCGGAAAATGCTGTCGTCTTCAAAACAAAAACGTGTTTTAAAAAATTATGGGACAAACGGGATGGAACGGCTAATCCATAATTTGTTTCTTAAGGAAAAAAATGACATCGTGACAAAGTTTTTTGCACTACAATTCAAACATAGGAAAATGTTTGTCCTGTACGATGTTATAACTCATACTAGTAGTTATTGAGCTTATAGCATATATCGCTGTTGTGTTTGATTTTATATTCACTGTTAAAAGTAGCGAGCGTATCATTCATGACTCAAATAATGGAAGGTATTAGAAAGAATTAATATTTATTTAAAACTAGACTTGAAGTTTTTTCACCGAATATCGAAAGAAATATATTTTGTCTTCTTCTCAATATGAGATAAGCTGATTTTTGCTACTAGCTACCTTGTGATAATAGTATCCTTTTTTAGAGTTGATGTCGGCACTAAGTCTATTTCCAGTAACGTTTGAATTTTTGAATCTGCTTAAGCATTATGATCCACAAGTAACGGTTTTTTTCTTGTACTAGCTAAGTTTAATCTTAAACAATTTCTTGTCAACCTTTTCTGTATCATCTTTCTTCAAGAAGAACTGATACTTTGAGAACAGACGATATTATAATGAAGCATTTGTCAGATGTATGATTAATTCATAATAAAAACTTCGGTTGAAACCTCATCTTTTTTACCGTCAATAGTTCATTATTAAACTTTTTACTATATGTCTGAATTCTTATACGAATAAATTTATTTTTCAAATTCAGAGGTATGAACAGTGATTCGTCTTACATCCTATTTTTTTTTTTTTGAAAATTTTTTGTTTCTTCTCTAGAAAACTATATAGTTTTAATTATAAAACATGGAATATATAAAGTCAAATTTAAAAAAAATAGATCTAATAATCAATGTTTTACACTGCCTGAAAATTATTATTCTCATCCTCTTCTAAAACGTTGAATATACATTCCTAATTTAATTTATTTGTTTAGGTCGAAGTTTGAACATACCATTTTGTATTATTTTTGCTCGACTTCCACATGATGCACTTCCATCTAAACTTTTTCTTCTAACACGTGGTTCACTTCCAAACTAAATCATTTTTTAAAAAATTAAAATTAACTATAAATTTATGCAATATCTATATTACATACCTTTAATAATGATTGCTTCTCATCTTGATGAAGATCCATAGTATCTTTTTTTTATTATCAGATTATTTTTCACATAAGTTTTGCATATTGATTAACGTTTTTTTTCGATTTTATTAATTTATTTATTTATTTTGAGTTTTTTCTTTTTAGAGCATTAACAATTACGATGATAATTACCACAAAATGAATCCGTAATAGCCTGGCCTGGTTCACTCTTCAAAATACACCATTCTATATCTATTAGTATAGATAGTTGATATTCTATTAAAAGAAACACCAAGAGTGTATGTATCAAGTTCGAGCTGAAGATACGTTGTCAAAGTGTACACAGATACGGTGCGGCCAATTTTAAAAAGTTATGCTTCATTGCATCCTTTCTCATTTTTAGTTCATTAACAAAAAAAAAAAAAAAAAAAAGGCAAAAGAGTGAAATAATATTGCGTTAACAATAATGAGTATATAGAGAAAGAGAAAAGAAGTTTAATTACACTAAAATGTGTGTATATATAATTGTTTAACAAATGATAAAAATTCATTAGAAGAGTAACGATAAATTAGTGATAAGAAAAAAATAAAATACAGTTACACACTAGTTATTAATCAGATTAGATTAATCTACTACATATAGATAATTTGTGTAATGTTCAATGTACGATAACCTTGACCTTAATATGTCATATATATATATCGGCGAGAATATTATAGAAGTTTTGACAATACTGGATATATTTTATTCATCTGTTTTTTTTTTTTTTGTTCAATATTTTGAGAGTGGTTCATCCACATGAATACTGATCTATGAATTATAGTTTGTAACTAGTAAACAGTGCCGTGGTGAAAGAAAAAAAAACTAGAAGGGATAGAAATTTTTTGTGAGAATATGAATAGGTTTTGAGACAAAGGTAAAATGTATTTTGAGTCCCAAAAAAAAAAAAAGTTCTTAAATGCAAAGGAGAAAAAAAAGAAATTAAAAAATCAGAGAAGATGTACACTTCTCTACATCTTTTCTATTGCCATAGTCCTGCTAATAAGGTGGAGTACATGGTTATTTTTATACTAAAAATATAAATAATTTGGATTTACAGTGCAATATAACAAATTTAGATTGAAACGAAAACAGGAACATCTTCCTGCGCTATATTAAATAAGTTTTCAACTCTATTTCTTTTTTTTAGTCATTCATTCATTTATCTTTGATTTGATAGAAACTAATTTTTTTTTTTTTCTAGAATATGTGTACGATGCAATATTCATGTTTATCAATGTATTTCTATGGAAAAAGAAAAAAACCAATAAAATAAGAGAGATGCAACTCAAATATATTGTATTCAACCACATATATAGATTGAGTCATTTAGCATACATTTAATTTATTTTTCATGCTTGATTGAATCCATATGATTAAAAAACCTATGCTATCTAGATATAGTTTAACCGTAGAATAAAAAAATCAAAAAAAAAAAAAATCTTATGCTAAAAAGGATATGAAACATAGCTCTTATAGTGAAATCTTAGAAATTAATCCGTAGAATATTTTTTCGTAGTAAAAAATATATTCAAAAATACATGATACTCCTATAGCACGCAGATTTTTTAACCGGATAAATAGTGTCATACACTTCTTTTTCGAGTAATGAGTAAGAAGTACTAAGAAGTAAAAAAAAAAAAATAAAAAAAAGATTGTGAATGAGACTGTTCAAGAGAGCAATCTTCTTGAGCTTCATTTGTTTAATAAAAAAATTTTTATATGACGTAATATTAACAATGGTCAACTTAACATGAAAAGAGTAATCCATCTGACGCAACTATTTCTAGGTTTGATAAAGCATTCAGATACATAAGTAAGAAGCCTATATATATGAGACACTAATATTGTATCCAAATCTTAGAGTTTGATAAATTTTGTCTTCCTTAACAGTATATTGTTATATATTGACTTACGTGATTATGATAAATTTGCTCCGGTAACAATAACAGTCAAATAAACTACTCTACTACTTCTGCGATAACTTCATCTGTGATATATTATTCTTTGAAACAAAAAAAAAAACAAAAAAAACAAAAAAAAAAAAAAAGAGGAACAAAAAAATTCAAATTGGATGTTGTACGTACACATTTCTGTTTCTGTTCGTGTTTCTCTCTGTTCACTGCACAGCATACATGAATATGTTAATCCCCTTTTATTTCTTTTTTTTTTTGAACCAGCAGCGTATATATTTTCACAAAAGTAAATAGACTATGCATATTGTAGTATTAGGAAAAAAGATTTGAAGTCATTCAATGACAAACACGGTGGCACACGCCACTAAATTGTTGTTTGTCTTTGGATACAATGTTTTCATTTGAAGAGAAAAACAAAATGAGAGAGAGAGAGAGAGAGAGAGAGAGAGCAAGGTTTTTTTAAAACTGAAAGTGAGAATACCCTTAACGATTTAATATCTAAGCATATACATACATATATTCACATATTTATACGTTATGGGCAACAGGTCATTTATATTTTTGGATCTCAGTATCATGAGTACATTAAATTAAAAAGTGTGTATATGTAAAGAATTTGATATCCGTCTCATAGTCGTTTATGTTCAGAAGAGAATAGATTTTTCTTTGTTAAACAAAATTATGTTTTTTCTTCAATCATTCTTGATATACTGATCGAAGACTTTGCTTCTCTGTTCGACACTCTAATTTAAAAAATAAACAAACTTAATAAATGATAAGTATAAGAAGTTTACTCATTGATACAATCACTACTTGAAATGTTGAAAACTGCAGCGATATAACGTAAACATAAGGAATTTTCATGTTTTATTTTTATTTAAAGGAAAAAGGGACAAAAAAAGAAAAAAGCAAAAAAGTACAACAATTCCAAAAAAAATATCATATATATTAAATAATTGCAAAATACTTGATATGTATTGAATAATTGCCAAATGTGATATGTATTGATATGATTATAAATTATCACCAAATAAAGGAGTATACAGTACAATAACAGATGTGAAATAATTGCATATATAAATGCTTAGTGATACATTTTAAAAAATAGAATAAAACAGGGAAATAAAAAGAGAGGCTTACAAAGGAAACAAAGATTTCCAAAAAAATAAAATTTCCACGAAACTATTCTTTTGTTCGATGTATTTCTACTATACGAAAAAAAATCTGACAAAAAGTCTGATATGTTTGCGATATTGGAAAATAGTTTGAAAGAGAGTCAAAATCAAATAAAACTTAGATAATTGCTCGGCAATCCTTCATTTTTCGGAAAAAAACCCGAATCAAACAAGTTTGATATGTAAAGTGAAATGGACTGATGTGTAATAAAAAGATAGGATGACAGAAGCGAAAAACTTTCATCTTGTCTGATTAAACTAGAAAAACGTATAAAGTTCGAAAATTTGAACGATATAGAGACAATTGAACGTTTTGATTGAGAGAAAGAGAGACCATATATGAAGGGACAAGATAGGTAACACATACAAATCACATGTTTTTAAAGATAATTTTTTAAAGATAGAAATTTAAGAAATATGATGTCTCTTTTCGCAAATGCCGTTTGTTCGATGCCATATGTGGCAAATATTTTCTTTTGTTGGTTCCTTCCTCTGATCGTACAAAAATTACTTTATTTTTGTTTAAAAATCAGATGTACATGATGTCGACACATGATATGGCCTGCGCGAAAAGAGATATCTATTTATTAGATTTCTATTGAAATACCTAAAAAGAATGTCTGCACTTCTTTTAGACTAAAACATTACATTGTGATATCAATATCCTGACATATAAAATGTTGTAGCATTATCGGTTAAACACATACTTTTGGGTAAAAACATAATCTGTCATGTTATCTTTAACGAATATCGTTGTACACCAATGTTTCTTGACTAGGACTATAAGGTCCATTTAAACTTCCTCCAAGTGTCATGTATGATGCTTCATTATCATATTTTTTTTTGCTTGAATCATTAACATTTAATTTCGAAAATTCTTCGTTTGTTGTGCTCTCTTTTAACGGCATTATGTCAGTTGGAATATTGACAAGACAATGAAGAATATCATATTTAGCTGGTATGATACGATTTTCAAATAAGACCTTTGCTATATATGACACAAATAATATTGTAAATAAACTCAAGAGCATACAAAATGTTTTAGGTGGTATGAACCACGGAAGCAGAAGAACTTGTGGAATACCAACTTCAGGTTCACCGATCAAGGTACGAAACAGAAATCCAACAATATAAGCACCTAATGAGCCATACGTATTGGTAAAATTAGCATAAACGACACAAAGTAATTGTGGGAATAAAATGACATAAACTAGATCTGAACATAAGATCCACAGTAAATAAATGGATGGAACCGTTATTCCTATTCCTGCTGCTGCTGCTCCGACAAAAAATATTCCTATACGCATTACCCATAATACCTCGCGTTCACCAGCCTAAATGAAAGAATATTTTTAAAACTGTAAAAATCGATCATTGCAACTAAAATACGTACATTGTTACGAAATACCAATTTCCATACATTTCTTGCAAACATGGAACTTGCACTTAGCACACTTGAATCAGCACTGGACATGACCGCAGCTGATACAGCTCCAAGACCAATCCAAGCAATGGGTTTTGGACATAAATGTTGTAATACTAATGGCAATATCAATTTTTGAGCTTCGGGCGATGTTATGTTTTTCTTGATATCATAATCAGTTGCTGTCCAATCTAAAGATAAAAAACATGAGTGACATGATTCTGTTTCTAAATACTCTTATTCACTTACTTGTCGATTTAGCAATCGCTCCGATAAGAGCAGGTGGAACGGCCAGTAAAAAACATCCGACAGCTGCACAAAATGATAAATACATTGCTTTGTGAGCACTTTTGGCTGATAATACTCGTTGAAAATAAACCTGAAAATGGCGAATTATGCCGTAAACATTTTTTTGATGTTGAAGGAAGATATTTATTCACCTGCCACGGTATACCGCCGAAGATGAGTAATAGCAAATCATCGATCCATCTAACTTCTTGATGTTTTTCAATATGACCTCGCCATTCAGGCCATGTTGTTAATAAACTGCCCACACTTTTGTTTTTGAGTGCAAATGGCACAGCTAACCACTAAAGAGAAAGTATGAGCAATTAAATAAGAGTTGTAAAACTTGTTTAAAGTATAGCTTACTAGTCCCACAAATATGAAAAATAATTGAACAACATCTGTATATGCCACTGAATATAATCCACCGAATAATGTGTAAAATACAACAATAGCAGCTGAGATGAGAACTGATGCTGTTTGTGAAACATCTGTAAAAATGACACTAATGGTGGCACCCAACGCTGATAAAATTGCTGCCGACCAAAACACTTCTCCCATCAAGGCAGGTAAGAAGAGTAAACCACCCATTCTTTCTCCATATTTTTGCTGAAATGGATCTAACATCGTGACATACCCAGCGGCTCTCATTCGTCGCGCAAACAGCAGTCCTCCACATATTAAACTAATAGCATAACCCAATGGCGCTTGTGTTGACAATAATCCAGTTGAAAATACCATTTCAGCAGTACCATTGATGTATGCACCACCGACCCACGTAGCTTATTAAACAAGAAAAAAAGATTGAAAATAATCAAAATCATTAGTCAGCCGTTATCGAGCTCAAAGAAATTTTTTGTCATTTATAGAAGAATGGATACAATTAAATGCATTTGTACGTTTTTCAACGGTTCAGTCCCGATTCATCGACATTTTACAGTGTTGACTCCTCACTACCATTTTTCATCTGTCCCTCCTCCTCCCAACGTTGTCGATGAGTCAGGAAAAAATTAATGAGTCGACGAATCGGGACGATATCTTTTCATCTGTTATCAAAGAACAAAATGTTGAAGATGAAATGAAAAAAAAGAAAAGTCCGTTTAGTATAAAAATGAAAATTTTTTTAAACGTTAGCAACATACACCATTACCTGTCATCGTAAATACACCGACTAACAGTCCAATATTTCTTCCTGCCAGCATAATCTCTTCAGTGTCTGGTGCTTTTTCACTCGATTTTTGTTTACGGCCAGCCCATATTCCCACCAATAAGATCAGTACGTAGAAAATAATGATTGCTACTAAACCTCCAACATGGACAACCATCTTGCTCTTCTTTCTGGTTATTTACTATTGATTCTAAGAGAGTGGTAAAAATTTTATAATTATTTGAAGTTCGTATTTCTATTTATAAACGCAATAGATTACATAAGGAAAGGGTGGATGTTGATATACCGTAAAAAAAGAGCTGTATATTATGATTAGTAGTGTTAGCCATTACATAGTTCAACTTTTTCAATTATCCACATATTTAAGATGTAACCGCTCTATCCTTATTTGGGATAACACTATGATTTTGCAATCAAACAGAATTATCCTAATCCGACAAAATCCGATAAAATCAGTTTATATGTAACTGGTTAGACTGCGCGTCATTGCCATAAACCCGTTGCCGTTGCAGATTCAATTAATGTGCTTCGATTCTGTTTGTGATCGCACACTTTCTTTGACACTTCGTCACATTTTCTCTCTAGAAGTCAATGTAAAATAATAAAGAGAGGAGAAGAAAGTTTGATCTTTCAGACATAACTTCTTCTTTCAAGAAAAAGTCAACATGCTATATCTCAATATCAATGAGTGTATTGACTTCTAGAATGCTAGTTTTCTCCTTTCCTACGATTGTTTTTGTTAGAAAATAGTTCACGGGAAATGAATTAAATTAGATTACACTATGATTGACTCAACTATATTCAAGTTCAAACTAAAATTGATACAACTGACAAAAATAAATTTATGACAAGACTACCGTCAGAAGATTTTTAAATGGAGCTAGCTTTTCTTCTCAAATTCTTAACGGTACGCGTCGCTCACACTATTCAACGAGCGTGGTGTACACGTCCTAGTCGGTGGACTGAGGAGCTACTGTTCACTCATTTTCTATAAAAAATGAATGACAAAGAACAGAAAATAAAAAATTTAAGGCTATTTTAGCCTTGAAACACGTGAAAACCGGTCATATTCTACCAACTCCAGCAAAATCCGATGTCTGGAACTCAAAGGATCCGGTCGGATCTCTTCAGTGCAATTAAAGACAAAAATATACAACATTTCAGTTAACTATGTCTAGCAGCTACCCGGTCTGGACGAGTCCGGAGAAATATCGCGTACAAGTTGGGTCGGAGTCGTTAGAAATCTAATCCGAGTCCAATAATGTTTAGATCCTTCTTTTTATTGCTGCGATTTATTTTTTTAATTTACTGGCAAACAAAGAACTGTAATCATCATAATATTTAGAGCAGGTAATGTTCCTGATATTGAATGAGCAGATGTAGGCTATTGAATTGCGTAATACATGCAGGCACAACTCACATTTGAACTCAGAACAACAAAAACGAAAGTGGAAGATCAAAGTTTTCTGTTCATCAGTCTAAAAACTTGAATCAATCGGACTCGAGTACATAAAACTCAAGTCTACGTCTGATTCTTTACAAAAAATCTGCAGTCCAAGTACAAGTCCGAATCTTCCAGAAAAATCGTAAGTCCGAACTCGAGTCCAAGCCTGGACTCAGACTCGCTCAACCCTGGTAGCTACAGTATAAATATGAGTTTTTATCGCTGCTCGTGAACAGAGAAATCAAATTTTTCCTGCTCAAATCATGCTTTTCCAAGAAAAAAAGGAAAATTCATAACTCAGCAGTGAAAGCCTAGAAAGTCAACCCTTTTAGATCTTTTCACTAGGGACTATCTCATCATAGTAGTCCCAGTCCAAAAGCGCTTTATCACCTCGAAATGTTTCCTCACGAGATTCAATAAGTTTATTCATAGATATATAGAGAAAATGAGCTTTCGAATGATATATAATAGCTGGAAATAGTTGTGGAATGGACACGCAACGTATAGAAAATACGAGTGGTATTGTCGTGACGCTCGCTGGATGTTCCATAGAACATCAAGAAAAGAAAAGCCTAAATGCAAAGCATGTAGCTTCACGCTTTACTCACGCTGTATCTAGTCCGTAAATATCATCAAAACCCGACAATGAACTAATTTCAACCAAATTAGTCCTTCCTTTTGTTAAAAAGAAAAATCAAGGTATAGAGAAAAGACGCGTCTCATAGAAGATGGTACAAGTCTTTTTCTAAAACTTTCCTGTTTGCTGTGAATATCAAATGTGTTTTAAGAAAGAGTTCGATAATTATCATTGAGATTTATTTAATTTTTGTTTCAAAGAAAGAAAAAACTTTATGTCGTCAATCTTTTGATATCTTATGAATAATATGTGTGCGAAAGTTTCAAGGAAAATAAAACGAAGATTGGTACATAGCATTCTATAGAAATTGTTATGGTAATATGAGCCAACAAGATCTTGTAGTATGGAGGTTCTTTTTTTTTGCTGAATTTCAAATTAATTGCTCTCTAACGCTTATGGATATTAGTATTCTCTGGAGAACATACATCAAGAGATCGAATTAAGTCTCAAAACCGTAATACTTACTACGAGAATAAATGAGATTTAAGCTTCTCTTCAAAAATCCGCATTATAGCAATATTTGCTTTATCTGAAAGATTTATCGTCTGTTTTTTTTTCCTTTATCTCTTTTCTTAGCCAGCAATGAGAGAAAAAAAAGAAGGACATAGAGGCAACTTGTTTTTCTTTTTTTCCAATGTCAGTCAACGTAAAAGTTATTTTTTCTGACACTTGAACATCTTGCATTGAACAGCAAAAATTCTATATTCTTTTTTTTCCTATTCTCGTGATAGAAAAAAATACTATACGCACAAACACAGACAAGATGAGTAGGCTTTTATTTGATTAGATATTTTTATTTTGTCTGATCGACAAAAAAAATTTTGTTTGCATTCTCAAACATGAGATACTACGACAGGAGAAAAAAATAAAAAAATAAAAATCTTAAACGCAATTTGTCAAGATTTTTATTTTTAAATGAAATAAGAACGAGAAACAAATTTTGCAGAATATCAGTGTCTATGACAATTTTTGTTCATTCTACATTTAATATGACGACTATATCTAAACCCAAGATCTTTTAATTTTTCCTTTCAGAACGATGAATATATATATATATATATATATATAAGAAATGTCGCTTTTCTTTCTTTTTTTTCTTCTTTATTGAAAAATAAAGTATAAGAAGAAGAAAAAGAGCCAAACTCAATTAATTACTCATGTAATTACTAACTGGATTGAAATACGTGTGGTGTGGATTGTATTCGATGGTTAAATTACGTTTTCAAAGAATAAAATATTTTATCAAATTACATGTCTATATTTATGTGTGTAGTCATAATTTCGAGAAAGTTTTTGATAAAAATAATTAATCAATTGATTCAATGAAAAAAATAAATAAACTTATCGGAAGACATAATTAATTTTAACAGATTTGAAATTTTAAAACTTTTGTTAAAATTCTTGCTTTTATCCTACAAAGTTGCTATTGTAGGTCAAATAAATTATGAATTCATATATGTTTTTTTCCATAATGTTGTTATCAGAGTACAAAAGCGTTTTCATAGTAATAGACATTGTTATTGGTTTAATATCGTTCAATACGATTTAAAAATGCTTTAGAATCAGAACATTTTTAGAGTCATAACGAAAATGGTTGTATACTCGATGAGAGATTATTCAATAAACAGCGCTGTTTATTTTATCTTCTTAGTACTAAACCTTTATGAAAATCGTTGCTCTATTTATAGTATGACGATTGACATAGAAGTTACCTTTAGTCTTAATGAATTTTGTATTGTTATATACAGTGAGCATCAAAAATAATCATATAATGAGAAGGAGAAAAAAACGTTTTCTTTTGCTATATTTCAATTAGTAAAAATAAGCGATTGATTGTTATATTAGTTAGCATCATATTTGAACATTGTTGAGCTATAAATAATTAGGTTCAACTCCAGTACCTTCTAAAATTTTCAAAGAATTTATTATTTTGGAATAATAAATTCGTTACAGTTCTTATATAAGCAGGTTTTTATGTATGCATAAGTGACTGAAACAAATTAGAAAAGAACATCATTGAAATAATTCTATCATTATTGACAGGCAAATCCTAACATATTTTACTTTTTACTATGCAGACAATGGTTAGAAAGAGCAAACTCGAATTCATATATTAATGCACATCTTTTTTAATCTGTATGTATCTTTATTCACTAATGTATTCAACTACAAAAGGTACCCATATAGGATAAATTAGAAAATTCCCACTGTATGTCACTACATGAACAACAAAGGTGAATAAACGACGATGCAATTAATGTAAAAAATATTGGAGAAAGAAAGAAAGAGCAACCAAATTGCCTGATAGAACGAATAAAGTGAAGGATAGTCGTATACATTCTCGTAAGACAATTTTTAAAAAAATGCAAGAACTGATTTATAAATGTCTCAAAAGTATGTGTTTCACCGCCAAGCAAGAACTCTTTAAGAGAGAACGGAACTCTTGAAACAGAAGGCAATGGTATACATCATACTGAGCACAAATTATAAAGAAGTGCTTAGTGGTTTCGTGATTAGATCCGGATGCATATACTGGTGACAGTTCTACTTCGCTTGAAGAGAACAAATACTCGTTCAATTAAGAAAAATTGACTCCAAACCACGTGTGACGAATTTCTTTCTAATTGACGGTTGTGAGTGAGTACAAGTATAGTATCGTGTAAACAATTTCATACCTGATTACCATTACAAATAAAAGACTTGTTTAATGGAATGCGCCATGTTATATTTCTAGACATAACTCCTCTACTTGTGCTTTTATTAGGTTGGCAACAAAGTTCTTGAGTTTTTTCTAAAGATGGAGGAAAGAAAAAACGCAAAAACTTTGTTGCCAACCTAATAATTTAGTAAACTTGAAAGCCAATTAATAATAGAGATGAAGCAGCGGAAAAAAAATCGATGTATTGCTGCTTAGATTCATCTGACAAAGTTTTGTGCGTGGTTTCCTAGAAATCCAATTTTTAACCAGGTCTCTAAAATTTACCAGTCGGACCGAATACTTTTTTTATAGACAACTAGGATATTTAAAATCTTAATTTTTTTTCGTTTTTTGCTGAAGAAATATGAGGCTTGAGATTCGGTCAGATCAGATTGAGGATGAAGGCGAGGGTGACTTTTTCAAAGCATTTGCGGTGATGCTTATATCGACGCATAAAACTATTGGAAAATTTCTGGAGACGTCTCTTTGTGGAGAGAATACGTTGCTCTATGAACTACATATATATGAAAAACGTTTGAAGACACTGGAAAGGGGTTAACGAGTTCAGTTTTTTAGCCTTTTGAGTAAAAACTTCGTACCTTTTCAGAAAAAGCCGTGAATGACTGGAAGCTGTTTGATATGGTTCGAAAAAACCAACTTCTATAGTACAACGTATGTTAATCGGAACACTGATCACTCAGCATCCGTGACTGGTCGGTCAAACATCTCATTTTGTACAGAAATGTTTGATCTACCTACTTGCATCGAACAAAAACTTAAACAAAGAAAACGATTTGCTGAAGAGACACGAGCAGTCATATAACTGGTGATCAGTTATCATGCACAGTTATGGTATTGCAGAATGCTCATATTTGTGCTATAATTAAGTTTAAACGTTTTTCCTTCTAGTAAATACATAGAGCAAACATTTTTCTGCAAAATGAGACACTCTGCAGCTAGAGAGGATTCTTAATAACCGCGATGTAACAATTTTCCTAGATGCTCTGATGTATATATGACTGATACATGCCTACGTTTCACAGTACTTTCGTCATCAGGTAACGCTGAACGCTGAAGTTGTTTGCAGTAGTGGAAGTAGTTCAGTATGGAGTAGTCCAAATGCAAGCAGTGTTTTTACAGTCAATAAGAATAGTATATAAACGTGAGAAAAACGGCAAAATAAAGCGTTATTATACACATGAACTTGCGTCACGTGTTATAACGCGTTATTAGTGTGACGAAAGTTGTTTTTTCTGTGACAAAAATTAACATGACGAAAGTGCTATCCCTCATGCCTACACTAGAGATGTATGCATCTTTTAAGAGTACATTTTTTTATTGTTTCAAATTGTTACATCTCTAGTGAGGAATAGCTAATAATCATTTAGCACTTTTAATAAAAATATTGAGAAAACTTTTTTAAGAGATGCAATCAAATGTCATTAGTTGACCGATTCGAATAATAGAAAACGCCTGAAGTGACAAATGAATATTAATATTAATTTTTCTTGAAGAGATATGATTATGAATTATATGGTGACAATATGAGATTAAGCGCAAATCGATCTTGATGGTTAATTTTTTGTCTGTTCATGGATAAATATTCTTTTTTTCCGCTATAAAAAAATGTAAACACCCAATTAAAAAAAAGACCATCTAAATTAGTTTCTTATTATACAAGATCACATTTACAAAAATAAATCATCACAAGCTATTTGCTGACATTCTTCTTCGACATATTGGACAAATACCTGTGCTTGATAACCAATTATCAACGCATTCCGAGTGAAATAAATGTCCACAACCTAATTTTTTCACTTTCAAATTTGGTTGAAAATCTGTTCGACATATAGCACCTGAAACATAAAGAAAAAAGCTCGAAATGCGTGTTTTAACTGGCATAAAAAATACATTTACATTCTGTTTGTGCAAATTGATCTTCAAATTGACCAAAGACAACCATTGGTAACGCATTGATACTATCTCTGGTAGCCGGCAAATTTATTGGATTCGGACCACCACCCGGTGTAGACGGCAAATATCGTCGTATTATTTCAAATAGAGGTACGGTGATTGACGCTAAACACAAACATAAATGAAATCAGTTAAGCATAAATAAATGTAGAGATGACTTACCTGGTAGACAATAGGTAAGTAATATTCCAAAAACGACACCGACACAACATAACACCACAACTAGGGGTACGGCAATCAATGGCACTAGAATACGTATCCATTGCCAAACAAGTAATGTTTTATAGAGATTAGGTGCGTATTGTTTGCACGGTTGACCATTGTTTGGTCGAAAAAGATAGAGTGCACCAACGGAAAAATAATAAATAATAACGACTGTATACAAATAACTGAACCAATAATAAACAAAATAATATTTGATCATGGCTGTATTGCCACCATTTGATAATCTCATTAGAAATCGGTTAACTGCTAAATTTAAAATATGTAAAAGCGTTGTTAGTGAATATAGAAAAATACCGACATAAGCAAATGTTATTAACGGTGCACCAAGATATAAATCATCTGTGACTTTATAAGTACATGCATCGTTCATCTTTTGTTCGTTTGTTTTAGGTAACGCTACTAGAATAGTGATAACATATGCACCGTTGATAATAAGAACAAATACCAAGATAAAACATTCCATTAATAATGAACGTCGAACAGGGATTTCCGGTCGAGTTGGTGGCATTAACATTAACAGCCATGTCGAAATGCATACAATTCCCACAGAAACTCGTAATAACTCACATTCTTGATTAATAATTGTTGATTGAAAACAGTAGACAGTACCAAAACATGTTGGAATCAATTTACAAAATAAAAACAGACCACGAAAAGCTGATGCACATTTGAGAAATGATGGCTCATTATCTACTGTTAAATCCTCTGAACGTTTTAAAAATTTTCGTATAAACAAAACAATTATAATAGATAAATCGATCAAATAGAATACTAGTAAAACGATGGCAATTGTTCGTAGACGTTGATTTTCACATTTACCATTTCGAAGACCGTTGATTAATAGACTGATGTCAATTATACGATAGAGTAAATATAACAAGCTTTCACTAGAAAAGATAAGTATAACGTAAAAATAATTAATGAATTTGATGGTGAATGTGAAATGCTGATATATTGACATTCTTTGACTTTTTTTACGTTTCTTATAAAACTAAGTATATTTAATATAATTGAAAAACATTTTTGTAAAATCATTTTACACAAAAGCAAGCTTTCGATACTTCACAGTATCATCAGCAGGCTAATATAACTGTGAATTTAGAAGAGAGAGATGAATATACATACTAGTTGAAACAGGGGAGAACGAAAATACTAGAAAAACTTAACCATAGAAAAATATGTAGTATAAAATCGAGTTTCAACTAGTATGTATATTCATCTCTCTTCTAAATTCACAGTTATATTAGCCTGCTGATGATACTGTGAAGTATCGAAAGCTCGCTTTTATGTAAAATGATTTTACAAAAATGTTTTTCAATTATATTAAATATACTTAAAATATTGATGGTAGTAATCGACAACGTATTATCTATAAAAGCTGATCCTGAAATAAACAAATTACGAACCTGCATCGTTTGTCAAATTCCGTAAATTTATCAATCCATGTTGATTGCGGTGCACTCATGCCATTATGTATTGCTGTGCCCTCTGATTGATTATTACTATATAGACTCGACATTACCGTTATTATTGCATTTTTATCTGAAAAGAAAAGAAAAACATGTTGTCCATGACAATATTTTCTATTAGATCATCTATAAAATGATTAATGACGCTATTTATATCAATGCACTATTTCACTTGTTATAATTGTGTGTCATTTAGTCATTTCTCATCCCTCATTTTAGTGAGAAATAAAGCCGTTCAGTTTTTATATAATATAATATTATTTAAAATGTTCACCATCTATTATAAAGGATATAAGTACAGTAGAAAGAAAACAACAGAGGGAAGAAAAATTATTCTCGTGTGTTTAGAAAATGTGTAGACAGAATAAGAGCGCATATTTTTGCTCGTTTTTTTTTTTCTTTCGTATTTTTTTCCACTTCTCCAGTACTCACCAACCGTTACGTTAAAAAGCTCAAAACATATACGGAATAAAAATTGAGAGAGAGAGAGACATTTATTATTCATCCCAGTAAAAAAAACAAGCAGACATTTGAAAATCATAGAATGTTTGTCATAATAAGTTTAAGATAACCTTTTGATTTTTAAAAATCATCTACTGTGATGTAAAAATTTTCACTCGATCGGACTATTTTTTCGAGAGGTCATAATGTGACCGGATGAAAACTGGAGTTTTCCAGAAAACCCATAGAAGATCATGCCAAAAAATTCTGAGCAGAAATATATCGATTTTCTTTTTCGCTCTTCTATCTCTGGTATAAATTTGAACTCGGTTGGACGTGTGTTCCGCATTTGGTAACAAGGTGAAAAAAGAGGGAGGTACTCTTAAGATGTCGCTAATTCAAAAATCAAGCAAAACTTTTTTCACGATATTCAGGGACGTAGCGAGGGCTCCAAACCAGGGAGGAGGTGACTTTAAATTATCCTGTTAAATAATGTTGTATTCCTGTTAAAAAATTCGTATCAAATTACTTCTACTACGCAGGAAAAGAAGATTTATGATATTTTGCTGCGGAAAGAGCAAACGTTTTCTGAAGCAGGAGAGGGGTCATCCGCCCGCACTCCCGCGCGATCGCTACGCCCCTGGCGATATTTATACATGTTTACATACAGCTCGTCGAGCTGAGTAAGAATATGTGCGTTTTGGTCTTTCAGATTGACTCTGTGAAGAAAAAATTTGAAAAAAATCAAAATTTTTAATTTTTAAAAGAACGCT